TGAGATTAAAGAGTTGTAACTGAGATTTAAAAAATGGTTTGTTTTTTTTAAGAGGAGTGGGTGTCATAGCATCCATAATAGAAAAATAAGAAAATCAGTTAGGTGTTAAAGGGTGGATTCAAATTGTACCCACACCTTTACTTAAGTTAAATGCTATTATTATCTCCTTCAAAAGGAGGAACTAAGACTGAAACAACATCCAAGGGATCCAAAGAAAATATTGTGCCTCAGATAATGTTAATGATGGCATTGCTTAGATGGCGAAGTTATTTGGAAGGGGACAGAATGAAAAAATGGAGAAAATCCCAGACCCAACCTCGTCATTGATAGAATGTATCTGCCACGGGAGTGGAAAGGTAAAAGGACAAGCCTGCTCTAATATTTTGAATGGATATATATTATGACTGGAAAAATTACTGAAAATTGGAACAATATGAGCAGCTACAGTTTTCCCGATGTGTAAACTATATTTTTATATAATGTTTGCAAGGGTAACAGTAAAGTTAATCAGTACTCTTGATGCCTTCAGAGGTCAATAGTAGGGAAGATGCCTAGACAAGTTGGGTGACATGCAAATCAATCAGATAGACAGATAGATAGAGATAGACAGATAGACAGAGACAGAGACAGACAGACAGAGATAAATAGATAGACAGACAGATAGACAGATAGAAATAAGATAGATTGACAGATAGACACAGACAGACAAATAGATATAGACAGAGACAGACAGACAGAGATAGATAGACAGATAGATAGAGATAGACAGATAGACAGACAGATAGATAGCTATAGATATAGACAGATAGACACAGAGATAGACAGACAGACAGATAGACAGAGAAAGACAGAGATAGACAGATAAACAGATAAAGATAGATAGAGGTAGACAGATACAGATAGACAGACAGTCAGGTAGGCAGACGTGTGTGTGTGTGTGTGTGTGTGAATGATGGATGGATGGATATGTCAGTAAGTCACTAAGTCCATAATCAATAGATAGATAGATCAATAGATTGACAGATTGATAGATAGGTCAAGAGATAGACAAATAAATAGGTCAAAAGAGAAAGAGAGAGAGAGAGATTGGTAGGACAGTAAGTCGATAGATCAATAGATTGACAGATAGAGCAAGAGACTGATAGATCAATAGATAGGTCAATAGATCAATACATAAGGAGAGAGAGAGAGAGAAATAGAGAGGTAGAGAGATAGGTTGACACAGAGAGATAGGTCAGTAGGTTGACAGATCAATAGATTAATAGACAGATCAAGAGATTGACAGATTGATAGATAGGTTGAGAGATAGAGAAATAGGTCAAGAGAGAGAAAGAGAGATAGATTGGTAGGTCAATAAGTTGACAAATCAAGAGACTGACAGATCAAGAGATAGATCAACAGATGAGAGAGAGGGAGATAGAAATAGAGAGGGAGAGAAATAGACACAGAGAGGGGGGGGTAGATCAGCAGGTTGATAGATCAATAGAAGCTTTCTCTTGCCTTCTTGGATGTGATTTAGCTTCCCAATCAAGACCCCAAGCCTGGGATTTTCTCTGAGACTCCCATCCAATCCCAACTGCAGCGTTGCTCTCAAAGCACAGTCAAAACAAGTCAAGATGGTGGCCACTACGGAGCAATGGGAATTCCACCTGTTTTTTTCCACATCATCATGGCCACCGTCTTTACAATGTTCTTGATCATCTCCTGCAAACACCCATAACTAACCAAATCCAACCTTGGGGTTTTCTTTTTTCTTTTTTTGGAGCTTGATCAAGGTTGTTGAGATGCTTCCATCTGGTTGGCATCCAAGTCAAAGCTCTTTGGGGACCCCAAAGTCAACTCCCAATGTCTACTCCACAGGAACCTGTTTGTATTCTATTTATTTGTTGACATGTACATGTCGCTAGTGCTTTTGGGTCAGGAGTCCTCACCCCCCCCCCCCCCAGGAAAAAAAAATCCTTCTTAATTTGACCTACAAAGGCAAAATTTCATGCCCAGCATTTAGGTGAGCCTTACTTGCTTCCTGTTTCTCTCTAAAGTCCTCTCAACAGATTTTTTTGGGGCCTCTGTATCTTGTCTCAATTTGACAAATGTATTTTTTTTTAATGTTACACTGAGAGCATATGCACCAAAGACAAATTCCTTGTGTGTCCAATCACACTTGGCCAATAAAAAAATCAGTTCTATTCTATTCTATTCTATTCTATTCTATTCTATTCTGTTCTGTTCTGTTCTGTTCTGTTCTGTTCTGTTCTGTTCTGTTCTGTTCTATTCCTAATTCTAATTCTAATTCTATTGCTTTTCCATCTCCAATTCCAATTCTATTCCTATTCCTAATTCTAATTCTATTCCTATTCCTATTCCTATTCCTATTCCTAATTCTAATTCTATTCCTAATTCTATTCCTAATTCTAATTCCAATTCTACCCTATCCTATCCTATCCTGTCCTATCCTATTCTTAATTCTATTCCTATTACATTTCCAATTCCAATTCCAATTCTACTCCTATTCCTAATTTTATTCCTATTCCTAATTTTATTCCTATTCCTAATTCTAATTCTATCCTATCCTATTCTATTCTATTGTCTCAACTCAGACCAATGAAAAGGGGGGGGGGGGAGAGAGAGAGACAAAAAAACAAAAGCCCTTTTTAAAAAAAAAAAAAAAAAAAACTTTTTTAAAAAGATGGGAGAGCTGCAATTCCCATCCAAAACCCTCAGGAAAAAATATCTCTCCAACGAGCGTTGCGCGTTTACACCTCGCTCCTCTCTTGTGTGTTCCTTTCTTGCCATTTGTCTGAAGTTGGGATCGGTCAGAGATGGAGAAAAAAAATAACCAACTCACTGGCTCCCAAAACCCCGGTCACGCACAAGCGCTGGAAGTCGCACCGGTAGAGTTCAGAGAAGTCCCCTGTCATAAACTCGGCTCGACACGGAACAATCCACCCGGCGCCAGCGGACAGATTCCCAAAGACCGGACGGGCGAGGGAGGGGATTTTTTGCTTCCTTCCCAAAGGGCTGAATCCCTCCCACCCATCCGCATCGGGAATTGAAAGCGGAGATTTTACCCAAAGCTGGCACACCAGTCGCCCAACAGCCGAGCGGTTTTGCACGTGTAACTGGCGTACCAGCCTTGCGGGTTGCTTACACGTACAAGAGATAGATAGATAGATAGATAGATAGATAGATAGATAGATAGAT